AGCGGCAGCTCCTCCCTCTTCTCCGTTTTCCGTCGAAAAGTTTTTCCCCGGTGAAACTCCGGCGAGCTATTTCTCCCTACTCCAACGTCCGTTTTCCACGATTCTTTCTCCTTTGGATTCGTCTCACGAAGGGGAAGGTTTGAGGGGTGTTTTCAGGGCTTGTTTCTGGCTAAAACGGTGGGTCGAAAAATATATATATATATATATATATATACACGTATATATGTATATTTCGCAGATTTTGGGATGAAGAAAACGCAGGTTCTGGCCTATTATTTATAGGTGTTGGTCGAGGGTTTTAGACTGAGACGTTAGATTTAGAGTTGGATTAAAACAGCTTCTCCCGATTTTTGGTTGTGTTGTTTTGCCGGCCAAGAAAACTTACCGGGAGTTTTTAGGAGTATACGTATTATAGTTATATATTACTACCTACACTTAATCCTAATACGTATGAAGTTATATATTATTAAGTAGTAGTAGTATATATTATTACGTAGTTACGTAGTTACGTAGTATAATAGTAGTATAATACGTACGTAGGTAATTTTAGTTTAATTATATTACTACGTATAACGTATGTAGGTTATAAGTGTATTTATATTATACGTATTAGGAGTATTTTAGTTTGTACTTTGTACACTAAACAACTTAAAATAGTTTTATAAAATAATTTTATACGAAAACGTTACTTTTATTATCGGATCATTTTTATCTGATTAAAAAGTCGTAAACTTGGAAATTTTCTGTCCGGTTCACCTGTTTACTAAAATGCTGTTCTTATTACTGAAATATTTTTTATCTGACTAAAACATCATAAATTTTGAAATTTTTATCTGATTGGCACGTTACCACTGTTGAATTTTTGTCTGACTCAATTCATAATTAAAATGTTATTTTCGTAATATTTTATCTGATTAAAAATTATTTTTACTTTTATTTAAATTTTTGAAGTGTCACATGGTGTCAACGCGGAACTCCGTCTTGCTAACCTTCTTTGTAACTTGAAGGTAGCAAGCGCGGGAAAGCTTTTGGTTCCCCCTTGAGTAACCGATTCCCCCCTCGGCTGGGAACTTGAGGCAGAGGTGCCTCATGGAGATGACGGCCTCAAGATCTTCGAGGGCTGGCCGGCCGAGGATGATGTTGTGGGCGCAGTCGATGTTAACGACGACGAACTCCACTTCGAGCTTGGCTCTATGGAGGCCGTCGCCGAAGATGACCGGGAGGGTTATGACCCCCTCGGAATCAATGGTGTCACCGGTAAAACCGGCAAGAGGGGTCTTGATGGGCCGAAGGGACCCCCTCTCCAGATGCAGCTCTCTAAAGGTGCTGAGGTACATTACATTGACGGAGCTGCCGTGTCGATGTAAGTTTGGTGAATGATGGTGTTGTTTATTTCAGTCCGAATCACCAAGGCATCCCTGTGAGGAGAAGAAGTAGGAGGGAGATCTGCGTTGGTGAAGGTGATGGGTTCCTCCCTCAGCCGCTTTACCGGGGGCATATGAGTGACTTCCCCCACGTAAAGCGATTGAGCCCACTTTTTCCGCTGGCTGGTGGAATCGCCCCCTGTATTGCCACCGGTGATCATGAAGATGTGGCGTTTTTTCTCCTGGTGGTGGGGGTACTCCTCCTCTTCCTCCTCCAAGTTTCCGATCTCCCTTTTCTTGCCGAGGGGGATGGTGTTCGGGTTCACCCAAGCATTCCCCTTCGTGTGGTGCCCTCGGGGAGGTCCCTGATGAGAAGGTTCCTCCTGCCGAGGGCTCTGGATAAATTGGGACAGATGGCCCGCTTGTATCAATCTCTTGATGGCCGTCTTTAGCTGATGGCAGTCATCGGTTCTGTGCCCCTGATGCCGATGGAAACGACAGTAGGGGAACTGAGGGTTGATAGCATGTACCTCCGGGGGTGCGCGAGAATCGCGCTCAACGAGGCCCCTCTCCTCGGCAAAATCAAGGATGACGCTGACGGGGTGCGTCAATGGTGTCCGGGGACGGTCCAGGAGAATGGGTTGTGCCCAAGTCTTAGGGTTATTCTTATAACCTCCCCCGGGCTTGGCTTGGCCTTGGCGAGGGCGGTCATCAGAGGGTCCTAAAGCCTTGGGTTGATTTGGAGGAGCCCCCGGCCCCCGGTTGTTCTTGTTGTCAGCTTTCGGGGGTTGCTGATCTGGATGCTGGTGGTATTTCTCCACCTCCTCGGCCTCGGCATATCGGTCCCCCAGTTGCAGGGCCCTTATGTAGTCGCGGGGGGGTTCAATGATGAGGCTCCTTGAAAAGTTGCCGGTGCGGAGGACGGTTTGTAGGAGGGCCAGGAGGGTCCCGTCGTCAGCACCGTCGACTTTGTCGGCTTCCGTTCTCCAGCGCTCCAGGAAGTCCCGAAGGGTCTCATCCTTCTTCTGGCGTATGGTTAGGAGGTGGGAGAAGTGCTTCCTCGTGCGACGCCTCCCGACAAATTGTGTCAAGAATCGCTGGGCGAGTTCTTGCCACGAATCAATGCAGCCTTCGGGCAACCGGTTGAACCATTCGTATGCCGGCCCCTCTAAGGTGGAGAGGAACCAACGACACAAATATTCGTCCGACGCCCCTACCATCATCATGCTGTTCTGATATTTGCTGTAGTACTCCTGGGGGTCCGTCTTCCCGTTGTAGGGCTGTATGTGTTGCCCTTGATATTTTTCCGGGATTCGGGCCGCCAATACCCTTGGGGTAAACGGCGTCCGGGTCCGGAGCTGGATGACGGGTTCCCCGGAGCCCTCGGCTAGCTTCTTCTGCAATTCCTCCATTTTGGCCATCATGGCCTCGTACTTGAGGTCTTAATGAGGGGTGGAGGTGGTAGCGTGAGCTTTGTTGGCCTCCATTTCATCAAGTCGGCGTTGGAGGGCCGCAATAATTTCATCCCGGGGATCCTTCGGGAGGGCCTCCGCCCCCTGCGAACGAACTCGGGCCGAGTGAGCCTGGTTGATTTGGTGGCGAGCATCGTCGGCATGAAGGGGTGCCTTGCCTTTATCCCGAGGGGGACGCTCCTCGTCTTCCCTTGAGACAGACCCTCCGCTTTCCTGGGGCCTCTGGAGTGCCTTTCCTCCGAGGCGGTCTTGGACCCCTCGGCGGTCTTGCCCCCCTCCGAGCCGGTTGAGGGCGGAAGTGCGGGGCCTTTCTTTGTTGTCATTGTGGCGGTCCCGAGACTGAACTTTCTGGGAGGCCGTATCTTGGGCCACTACCCCTTCGTCATTCCCAATCCGAGGGATGGGGTTTCCGAAGGGGTGTGGCAGAGGGGGAAGCATGATGTTCTCCCCAACCTGGGGTTGAGCCGGAGCCAGGGTGCCGAAGGCACCCGGGTTCTGAGTGAGCATCTGGATGAAGGTGGAGAGCGCCGAATGAACGTCGATGGTGAGGACCGGAGGGCTGACTTGGTCATCGCTCCGGTTCTTCTTCTTGGCCTCGATGCCGAGGCGGGCATCGGGGGCATTCTGCTGGATCTGAAGGCGTAGGGCGACTGCCGCCCGTTCCAGCTCAGCGATGACACCGCCCTCGGGAGCCCTGTGAGAGGCTTCGGGGGCGTTGACGTCGCCGAGGGCCAGGTTCTTGTCTTCTACGTTTTTGGAGTTGGCACGTGTTGTTCTCACCATTTTGGTAGAGGGCTAGTGTTTGGCGAAGGGGGAGGGTTTCTCACTTGATTGTTCGACCTCTCAACGAGAGCACCAAATGATGGATAGTGTACCCGGGGGTGGCTTATCCGAGGGGTTATTACGGGGAGTAATAAGAGAGAAGTCAGAGCAAGTAAGTATAGAGAGAGAAAGTATATTGTAAAGTGTGGAGCGTTTTCAGCGTGGTTACAAATGGGGAAATGTGGTGCTATTTATAGTAGTAATAAATGCCGGACAGGGACACGTGTCAAGCGTCCATTGGCCGAGAGGTCACCTCAACTGGTTGGCGCTGGCAACCGCATGTGGCCGCATTTAATGCGGTTGTTGGATGGGACGCTGTACTTGGTACGGTGATCCAGATGCGCGTGGAGCGAAGATCCTGTCGAGTGAGGTGCCTTCGGGCACACTAGTGCCGAAGGCTCTCTGTTGCCGAGGGCACACTAGAGCCGAGGGCTCTAGGTGCCGAGGGCTGCTGTTTTTTGCCGTTTTCTCCCAGGTTCTAAATTTGCTTGAAAAACCCGTTCCGTGAGAGTTTTGAGCCTTCGGCCAGGGGGCCGAAGGCTCGCCAGTGTGCGCTGTGGGCTGCTAAGTGCTTGGGGCGCCGTAATTTGGGTCTGCTGTGCTTCCTGGGCCGGTTGAGCCTTTATTGGTGTAGTAGGAGTCTGTGGGCCGGGGGTTCCCGAACCATATACTCTATCACATGGATTTATATTTTTGATCACCTAAATGATAAAATTTATTTGTGAATATAAACAAATCACATGAAACATAAAGAAACAATAAAAAACATTTTTATTCTAGATCTCATTTGGTGTAGACCATGTCATATTCTTTGAATAAACATGAGTATCTTTCAACTATGCCACAATGGTGAGGAATAATCATTTGGTGTAGTATTTTACTACACTTTATTTTTATGGAGTATTACTTGCAACTCAATGTAGTTTTTGTTGACAACAATACAATTGTAGAATGACTTAAATGCGCTGATAGTCAATGTCCAATATGACATCTTTTGTTTTTAGTCCATGCAAAGTATTGAAGCGGACTATTCTATGTGTGGTAATGATGTGAGAGGGCCATTGAGATTTGATATTTGTTTGGAGAGAGGGAGATTTAGGTTTTGAAACATTGTTGTTACTCTTGTTTGATTGATTTAATATAAGCTTGTTTCCTTAAAAAAACTCTGAGAACGTTTTATTTAGAAAAAAAAGTTACCGACTACTGCAGCGGCAGAGGAGGGCCCCCAGCCTGGCCCTTGCCTAGTCCCCATTACGAGTATTGCAAAAACAAAATTTTTAGTGATGGCCCAGGATCTATAATAAAGGCCCAGTACCATAGAAAATAGTCCAGCCCAAGTCCTATTAAATTGAATCTCAGGCGGCCAACTAAGGTAGGAGACACGGTCATACTCAACTCTGTCGACAATCTCAATTCTCGACTCAGACAGGACTCGGGCCAGCCACTCAGCCCGCCACTCCGCTAGCCCAGGACACCGGCGATTCAGCGACGCCGGAGAAACCGACGCCGGGAACTCCGACGCAGCGCGCCTTGCCGGGAGGCCACCCTCTTGGCCTATTTCAACTCCAAGTATCTCTGCAATTTTAATTTTTAAGGTTTTATATCTAAGATAAATTTCTTAAATAATTTACTAATTGGTATTATTGTATATGGTTCGTGATTCGTGTTATTGAGTATTGACTATTGTGTTGCTAAATGCTAATAAATTGATTATATCATACTAGTATGTGCAAGCTTGTAAGACTGTAAGTTTATATTGTGTTTAATAATTTTTTTTATCCGATCAGTTTTTACTTTTTTAGATTGTCGTTGTAGGACATGTTATGATTTCTGCCTCCAAATTAGAAATTAAATTATTTAAATTGTCTCTTTACTTTGGTTTTTGATTTACTTGTTATTATTATATATTAAAATATTACATATTTTGACGTTGTAGTACAATGAATTTTGATTTCCTTATTGATGAATTTGCTAAAGTAAAAGATCGTAGAGTGCAATTGGATTTTTAGTTGTAATGTTTGATGCACCATATTTGTAGTACTTTTTTTGTAATAAATTTTGTGATGCATTTGAACTTAATTTGATTATTAAATTTATATTTGAATTTTTTTTAGTTCAATGACTAGAAAATTTTAAATTTAGCCTATTCTATTTTCTTTTGTGGGCAACATTAAAGTTAAAACAACGTAAAATTAATTATTCACATTTTTAAAATATGTTTTAATAACCTTCTAAATATTAAATTCAAATACTTTTTGAATAACATGACCAAGAATGATAGGAAACCTATTACTCTGGGTTGTTTCATTGTCAAATGGAAGTTATTATGATCGGTGATGGACTAAAAAGAAAAACAACATAAATTACAAGGATGAAAATAAATTGCAAGGACGTAACACAAAAGGCACTATATTTGCATGGACCAAAAGCATATTTAAACCTTGTGGAATTGTTGCATTAAGCAAAAGTAATGTTCTTAATTTCAATTTAAAATAGGCTAAAGGGTCAAATAGGTACATGAACTAACTTAAAGTGTTCAATTAGCCCCTTATATAGGAGGTTCTGCTCGTCTGTCGCCAATTGGGTCGGTTCCCGGTGGAATTTTTTGATGAAATTTTTTGAGCATCTTCTTCATTAAGTCTAGTTTACCCATACCAAATTTCAGCTAAAAATTCAACCGAGAAGGCAGTCAAATGATTTTTTTGAAGATAACTGCGTAGTGAAACAGCGTAGTACATTTCGGAAAATCATTTGACTGCCTTCCCGATTTAGTTTTTAGCTGAAATTTGATATGGGTAAACTAGACTTAATGAAGAAGATGCTAAAAAAATTTCATCAAAAAATTCCATCGTGAATCGCCCCAATTGGCGACGGCCGGACAGAACCTCCTAAATAAGGGGCTAATTGAACACTTTAAGTTAGTTCATGTACCTATTTGACCCTTTAGCCTTTAAAATAATTTGATACATGCAAAATAGGGGTAATGGATACCATTTGCATTAATTTGGCAACCTCGTTGTTGTAAACTTCTCTATGATACTAACAATGCTATTCTAGATAGAGCAGACACCTAATTGCACATTGTAAATTGCATTTCTCTTTGTTTATGGAGATACTATTGGAAAGACAGGAAGCGCAAAGTTGGTCAACAGACAATTTTTGAACTGGAGACTTTATATACTATCTTTTTTTTTCTTTGTGTACTTTTTTGAACTTCATATTACACAGTTAACAGTTTCTGTTGGTACATAGCCATTATATGCTTTGAAATGTGAAAGCAAAGTTAATTTCCTGCGCTTGCACTGTGGATTCTTGCATGTTTGCCTATGCTTGAATAGTTGACATGGTTGAGGGTAAATCTTTTTGTTGTATATTTTTTACAACAACAACAACATGATAGGGCCCTGAGCTGTAGAGAATAATAATAGTAGTAATAGATTGATATTAAATAAATGTGGTATTGTGTAAATAAGGATTCTGGGCCATGTCATAGAATATGGACTGACCCGTTAGGATATAATTACTATAAGAGTGGGAAGGAAGGAAGAAGGAAGTTAGGCAGAAATTGGAATTAGGCTTGGGACTTGGGAGAGGGGACTGCTCGAAGTGTCTCGTTCTGATTTCTTCTCTTTCTTTCTGTTCTTTCCTGTTCAATTGTAATCGACCAGACTTTCATCTTCAATAAATCGTAAATTTCTGCTGCTTTTGTTGAGGTATCTAACGTTGGTATCAGAGCAGTTGTCCCTGGGAAGCTTCGATCTAAGTCACACAATAAAAAATGGAGCAATGAAGGGAACATCGAAGGTCAGAACAGAAAGTGGCTGCCTCTGTTTTGCGCGCGAACACTGAGAAGCATGTGTCTACCCAAGGCAGAAAGGAACTGCGCAGGGAGCATGGAAGATACGATCAGGATGCTTCGCACAGAAAAGGAGAGAAGGTAGCAGAAATGGTTGAGCGCGAAAAAGTGGAGAAGTTGGCGGAAAAGGTTGAAAGTGATTGGGTGAAGGAGATGCGCCACATGTTTGGCAAAATTCGTCACAGACTCAAGCGACACAGAGACAGAGCTAGGAGTCCTCCTAGACACCATCAGAATTCGTCACTAAGTGCGCAGACGGTGTCGCATGAAGAAGCTTTCAGATCGCAATGGACAACTTCGCCATCTCGAACAGTTTCTCCCAGTTCGAAGTCGCAAACGGCTTCTCCTTGTTCGCAGGTCTTTTCATCCCTAACGCTAGCAGATTCTGTCCGCTCTAAGGTTTCCTCGTTCGCAGATTCATCCACTATCAGCTCGCGTCAAATTGTGACGATATCAGGAGACTCCAAATCGCTGAGATATCCCTCTACGAACCCTAGTACGACTCTAGACAGAGGAGACACCATCAGTTCACCGTTGCTATCCGAGTCGCAAGAGTCAGGCAATCCACAGAAAACGCTCTTTGAAGGTAAGTTCATCTACGGTGATGAGGGACAAGAAAAAAAAAATCCTTTGTGGTGACTCAATCCTTTGTTGCAGGGGAATATGAATCCGCCGTTAATAAAAATGTTGTTTCGAATATTTGGGAAAGTTCTCCAGGGACTATCACTATAAAAGAAACTGAGGAAATAGAAGAGGAGAATGATGGAAGAGGAAGTAAAGAATCTGATCAAAAACCTTTCCACAAGGTTGAGATGGGGCAACGGCCAAACACCAAGGTTTCTGGAATGCAAAGTATGAGGCTGTGTGTAGTTAATGTCAATCATAGCTCAAAGGAGGAAGTGGGAAAAAGGGTTGAAGTTTTATTTAGCTCAGTGATCCTTGATGAGCAGATTCCGGTTGAGGTTGAGGAGAATGGTGGTGTTCAGGGCATGAACACAAATTCTGCTATGGCTAAGAATGGATTTACTCACAACATTGTTTCTCAAGAGACTAAAGCAACTATACCATTCAGAAAGCTTCCGGTGGTTGAGCATAGCCTTCTAATTGATGAGGTCCGTACTTTAATTGATTCTGGCCCGAATGGGAGAGGAAGCAAGGGTTCTGGACTTGGCTTTGCTAATTAGTTAACGCCAACGCCATCACTGGGGTTTCAGCCTATAAGGGAAAGGAAAGAAGAAAAATTCTCAGATTTGGGACTTTGGCGGTTAGAGAATCTGAAATCGCATGACAGCACTGTTGTGCACAACTGCTGTCAGCTGTTGAAGTTTTATGAAACAAATCCTGCTATTACAAGTAATTCTGTCATTGATACTAGCTGCCGTACAGAAAAGTGGATGAAAATTGGAGAAGTTTGCATGAGGCTGTTTGCAGACCTTGAGTTGAGCTACATCAAACTTGCATCAGCACACTGATAGTTTTAGAAGAGAGAACCTCGGAGGAGCCTCAAGAAAGCAAGGAAAAGTTTGTGGCTATTGAAGGCTTGAAGGTTAATAAAGAGAATGAAACTTCACCAGATAGATCCTATGCTGTAGAAACATATGTCAATTGGAAAGATCAAGTGCTGAAGCTCCCCGCTCAGAAATCAGTGAGATACTGGGAAGGTAGAGGCACCACGATGAAGATGAAGTGGAAGATCAAGGCTTTCTCCTATCACCCACCTTGAGGACAAGGTGGTTGTCGAGGGGGGAGATATGATAGCTCCCCGTTATGATATAATTACTATAAGAGTGGGAAGGAAGGAAGAAGGAAGTTAGGCAGAAATTGGAATCAGGCTTGAGACTTGGGAGAGGGGACTGCTCGAAGTGTCTCGTTCCGATTTCTTCTCTTTCTTTCTGTTCTTTCCTGTTCAGTTGTAATCGACCAGACTTTCATCTTCAATAAATCGTAAATTTTTGCTGCTTTTGTTGAGGTATCTAACACAACATCCAAGCCTTAGTCCCAAAAGATATTGGGGTCGACTAACATGAATCGATACATGATACCACCACCAAAAAGAAAACAACGAAAATAAAGATAAAAAAGATAAGCATTGTTGTATATTTTTTCTGGAATAAAAATAAATTAAGTTCACATAAAATTATTCTCTTGCGAATAAGGCTTAGTTGTTGCTAGGGGTGGACCCGGGCCGGGCCTGGCCTGGGCGGGCTTTTTTTTGGGAAAGGGAGAACCGGAACCGGCCCGGGTATAAACCGGGTCCGGGCCGGGCCGGGGCCGGTTCTATGTTTTTTTTTGCTTTCTAATTAACCCCCGACCCCCCCTCACCCCCACCCCCAAACCCCCCCAAAACACCCAGCTCTAACCAAGAAAAAAATTGACAAAACAAAAAAAAAGCCCTGGCCCAGCCCGGCCCCACCGGGCCGGTTCAAGAAAAACATGGTCCGAGCCCGCCCAACCCGCCCCAACCGGGTAAAAGCCCGGGCCGGTTAGCACCAACCGGGCCGGTCCGGGCCCGTACAGTAGCAGACCGGGCCGGGCCAAACCGGTTGGGTCCATCCCTAGTTGTTGCTGTCACATAAAATTATTCCTATTAATGTGATTTTTTCCCCTTATAAAATTATTCCTTCTAGTGTTTAATTGCTTCTTCTGTATTGTATTCCTTCTCAGGTAGACACTCTGGCTTCCTCAGCAAATGAACAGTGAAATATATTGACCCAGCTCCCTTTAATTCTTTGTTCAAACTAGAGACATAAAGATATGCTAGGGTTTTCATACGGAGAGTTGTTGCTATTGCTTGGAGCTACTGCTGCTTTAATTGGTACTCTTCCTCTGTAATGGCGGTGTGAACTGGCTTCGATTCACCCGGTTTTTCATTTTAGTTCTGATAATCATGTTTCCTATTCCCAAAACTTGCTTCTCATTATGAAATTGATTATATCATTCATGTGTTGAGTTATACATGCTGAGGTAGGGTTTTGATTTGTCAGGACCTAAGGACCTTCCAGTCATAGCAAGAACTGCTGGGAGGTTATCTGGCCGTGCTATTGGCTATGTTCAAATGGCCCGTGGTCAATTTGAGAGTGTCATGCAGCAAACTCAAGCTCGACAGGTGTCTTTTTATCTTCCTTCTCCTCTTTTTTAGGTTTTTACTCTTCTTTTAACTTATACATAGTATATTGTAATCATCATTCGATATAGACGTATACTCAAGTATCTTTTTCTCATACCGGGCATACTTGTGTATGGCGGTGATGATCTTTTCTCTGGGATTTCTCTGAAAGGTCCATAAAGAGCTACAAGATACAATTGCTCAATTAGAAGCCATACGACATGAAATCCGAACCATTTCTTTCGTGAATCCGGGTCCATTAACCACAAGGCTAGTTGATAACATAAAAGGCCACCCTCTCACTGCTGGTGCTGGTACATCGGTGGAAAATGGACCTGAAAAGTCTGAAAGTAAGGAAACAGCGGTCAGTAATACGCCCAAGGTACTTTCCATCTCTATATTTACTTGGAGCACCAATTTATCCTATCGTTTTCCAATTAAAGGATTGATGTAGCGGTATTTGCAGAATTGTAACTTTAAGCCCTCGACCTGTTCTGATACACACAGTCAAGCAACAGCATATGCAAAACTCGCTGAAATCACATTATCAAAACCCAAGTATGAAAACTGCGAAGCTCTGGATGAGCTTCCTGATAAATTTGGTAATCTTGTGCTTCCAGTCTCTGCTAAAAGTGCAGGTCTGTTGCCTGATCATGCAGGTATATATCATCTTTTTTTCCTGCCCCCTGTCCCAAAAAATGAGCGTTTGATAACTTATCTTGCTGTCACAAAAGAAGCTATTTTTTATTATATTGAACGTATTTTATTATATCCCCACACAAGTTAAGTATGTTAAATCTATATAAACCAACAAATATTTTTTTAAAACACAACTGAATTTCATCGGGTGTACCTTTGTTAGATTGATTTTTTTGTGACATAGTTAGTTTTGTTTGCTTATTTTTATGGACTAGAATTTAGAGGCCGAGTTTTTCTATTTTATCTTTTTTTCATGATTTTGTTGTGATGTTTATTTTGTATTTTAATCCTTTTTATCCTCTTTATCTTTATCTTTTTATCTTATTTTTTATTTTATATATCCTGTCTTTTTTATCTTATCTTTATCTTTTTATCCTTTTCATCTCTTTAAGTTCCAATTTCATATGTCGATTCATGTTAGCTGACCCCAAACTCTTTTACTAAGTCTCGGAGGTTGTTGTTGTTTGTTTTTTCTATGTTTAGGAGTTGGTGGTTTTCTTAGGGGAGGGGATGTTGTGGACTCCTTTTGGGGCCACACTTATAAACGACGCATAAATGGTCCAAAGGCCCAAGAGTCAACAGCTGAAAGTGGCTGAAGTTGGGAATAAGGATATAGTTTCCTAATTCTAGTTAGTTTCCTAGTTCTAGTATATTTCCTTATTCTAGTTACTTAATATGGCTGAACTGGGAAACAAGAATACAGTTTCCTAATTCTTATTAGTTCTGATTCTAGTTTGTTTCTAATTCTTGTTTCCTTTCCTATTTAGAACTCTAAGCAGCCTCTCTATATAAAGAGGTTTTTGTTATGGAATAAAGTACGTTTTTGGAGAATTAATTTGTGCGTCTTGACAAGGTCGGGCGCCGATTAATTTAACAAGAATAGCTTCGTTAAATTCTACTGATTCTTTGTCTCTTTCCCGATTAATATCTCGAACACATCCTTGGACTAGGGCTAGCTCTCGCCTCCTTAACAATTTGGTATCAGATTTGGGCACGATGGGCAACGCTCCGGTGACGGCAGAAGCGTTGAAGGCCTTACTACAAGGCGTTGCTCAACCACAACTTGACGTTGAAGAACAGTTAGCCGATATCAAGAACACCGTAACCGACTTGGCCGGACTTCCAGCAGCTTTCGCCGAGATGAGTAAAACTGTGACCAGCCTGTCAAACATTCTCAACCAATTGTTGCAGGATTCGCCATCATCCAGTCTACATGCTGGACGGCCACGACATACTGATAACCACCAACGCGACTTTGACGATGGGATGGTTCAACGGTACTCCAAGTTGGAGTTTCCCCAGTACGATGGATCCAGTGATACATTAGTATGGCTGAAATGGTGCGAGCGGTTCTTCGTCCAGCAGCGCATCCAACCGCAGGCACAAGTAGGGTTGGCTACTTTTCACATGACTGGTAATGCCCAACTCTGGGCAGACCAATTAGATCATGCGGGAGTAAGCCTTAATTGGACAGAGTTCTATATCCGTTGTTCAAAACGATTTGGGCCCCAAGCAGCCACAACCTGGAGGGTGATCTGGTGAATTTAAAGCAAACGTCTGACTTGGAGTCTTATATTACTAAGTTTCAGCAGTTGCTAGCCCGCACAGCTGGATTGTCGACTCGCATGCAAATCAAAATTTTTATGGCTGGACTTCGAGAGACAGTACGCGTGGAGGTCAAATACCAGGAACTCGTTGATCTTGACACAACCATGATACTCGCCAGAAGCAGCGAGCGCAAATTCCTCGCAGCTGCGACCTCAACAAACAGCAGTACATATGGATCTGGTAGGTCAAGCACTCAAATTCCTCACTCCATTATCCCCGAGCAGACACCGGTAAAGAAAAATTACAACCCTACGCTTAAAAAATTAACCCGGGCTGAAGCTGCTGCACGACACGAAAAAGGATTATGCTACAACTGTGATGAAAAGTGTATCCTTGGCCACCGGTGCAAACAATTATTTTTCTTCGAAATTGTGGATGGCGACTTTGAAGAGGCCCCTGAAACCCAGAGTGAGCCCTCCCTGTCAATCAACGCAATGACTGGGTTCAGGTCACATTCCACCATGCAACTAGCCGCAACCTTGTTTGGTCAATCTCTGAAGGGTTTGGTCGACTCGGGAAGTACTCACAATTTTATCCACCAACGTTGGGTCCCCATGAACAGCCTGCAGCAGCACTCTGGCACCCGCCTACATGTTTTGATGGCTAATGGAGATCGGGTACCCATCATTGGTACATGATCGCGCCTTAATCATGATCACTTTCACGCAGATTTTTATGTACTGCCGTTGTCTGGTTTTGATATGATTTTGGGCATCCAATGGCTTTGTGGGCTTGGCTCCATACAATGGGACTTCTCAAAACTCTCCATGCAGTTTAATTGGAAGTGCAAGCCGGTGACTTGGCAGGGTCGCGGGGCTGACGTTTCAGCTGTCTCTCATATGGCGATCTGTCCGGACAGTTCTAAACCCTCTCTCAAAGAGCTTCTGTTTCATTTTGATGATCTCTTTCACAGCCCCTCCAGCCTTCCACCCCAACGTGCATGTGATCACCGCATTACCTTACTCCCAGGCACGAGTCCAGTTGTGGTTCGTCCGTACCGCTACCCTTATTTTCAGAAAGATGAAATTGAAAAACAGTGTGCTGAAATGTTGGCACAGGGGATTATTCAACCAAGCCGCTCTCCATTCTCCTCTCCGGTACTCCCCGTACGTAAACCAGACAAGTCTTGGCGTTTTTGCGTCGATTACAGAGAGTTAAACTCCAAGACTGTTAAAGATAAATTCCCCATTCCGGTAATTGATGAGCTACTAGATGAGCTTCACGGAGCAACTCACTTCACGAAACTCGACCTACGCTCGGGATATCATCAGATCCGCATGGCCCCCGAGGATGTGGAGAAAACAACTTTTCGGACACATCATGGACACTTTGAGTTCCTCGTCATGCCATTTGGTCTGAATAACTCACCATCCACGTTTCAGAGCTTAAGGAATGATATATTTGGGTCGTATCTCCGAAAGCTTGTCTTGGTCTTCTTTGACGATATCCTCATTTATAGCAAGACATGGTTGGAGCATATGTATCACATCCGCCTCGTCCTAGAACTGTTAAGGTCACATGGTCTCTTCTTAAAGCATTCGAAGTGCAGCTTCGGGGCCTCCCAGGTGCATTACTTGGGGCATGTCATTCACAGCAAGGGAGTGGAAGTTGACTCGACAAAGATTCAGGCAGTCCGTGAGTGGCCTACCCCGACCTCTATCACTGCCTTACGAGGGTTCTTGGGGTTAGCAGGCTACTACCGCAAATTCATTCAACATTATGGAGAGATCGCGGCACCCTTAACCCAACTCTTGAAAAAGAATGAGTTCACCTGGAACGCAGCAGCAGAAGCAGCTTTCACAATGCTGAAACTCTGTTTGTCCACCACACCTGTGCTTCAGCTCCCAGATTTCACTAAACCTTTCGTTGTGGAATGTGATGCTTCTGGGAGTGCCATAGGGGCTGTTTTGCAGCAAGAAGGGCACCCAATAGCTTATTTCAGCCGTAAAATTGCAGACCGCTATGTGAAATTAGCCGCATATGAACGGGAACTCATCGGTTTGGCTAAAGCAGTGACTCACTGGCGGCCTTATTTGGGGGGTCAAGAATTTCTCATCCCACCGACCACTCCAGTTTAAAACATTTATTGGACCAACGTTTGACTACGTCCCCGGTCCCCCCAACAACACTGGCTCAACAAGTTAATGGGATTTAACTTTCGTGTTGAATACAAACCAGGATGCCTTAACACCGTTGCTGATGCTCTATCTCGACGTGATGAATTGGAGCCTGCTGTGGCAGCTCTCACAATTCCTTTTACCAGCTTGTTGGACGAGATTCGAACGATACAATCACAGTCTACAGAAATTCAGGATATTAAAAGCCAAATTCTAGCCGGTAATCGCACTCCTGAATGGACCTCGCATGATGGGCTGGTTTATTTCAAGCACAAACTGTTCCTGCTACCCGACTCCACAATAATACCTACCCTTTTATCCGTCTTCCACGAGATGGCACATGAAGGCATCACAAAAACTCTCCAACGTCTGCGGCGTGAATTTTATTGGACAGGCATGAAAAATTCAGTGGCAAATTATATCCGCGATTGTCAAACATGTCAACAACACAAGTGGTTAAACTTACAACCGGCAGGATTACTCCAACCGTTGCCAATCCCGGAACACATTTGGTCCGATATCTCAATGGATTTTGTGGAAGGCTTACTGAAGGTTCACGGCAAGTCCACAATCTTGGTGGTCGTCGACAGATTGTCAAAAGCAACACATTTTATTCCTTTAAGCCATCCCTTCACTGCTGTCTCAGTGGCATGGATCTTTTTTGCTGAAATTGTCAGACTCCACGGACTCCCAGAATCCATTGTCTCAGACAGAGATAAAATCTTTGTGAGTAACTTTTTCGGGAGTTATTTCGTTTGTCAGGAACCAAACTTGCTTTTTCTTCGGCCCACCATCCTCAAACAGATGGCCAGTCAGAAATTGTCAATCGCACGGTAGAAATGTTCTTGCGTTGCCTAACTAGCGCACACCCTCACTTTCCGTTTAGTTTATGGCCGAGATCCCCCCAAACTGGCGACATATACTCCTGGAATAGCTAAGTTAGAGGGTGTAGAGCAGGAACTCCTTAACCGCGACAACATCATATCTGAGGTTAGATTACGATTAGCTCACGCACAGAACCGCATGAAACAATACTATGACAAAGGGCACCGAGAGTTGTCTTTCACAGTGGGTGATTGGGTCTGGTTACGTGTGCATCCATACCGGCCGTTGACACTGGTCTCCCGTCACCACAAATTATTGCCGAAATTTTATGGTCCCTTTCAAGTCACTGCAAGGATTGGTACAATGGCCTATAAGCTAGAGTTACCCATAGAGAGCCGCATACATAATGTATTTCATGTATCTCTCCTCAAGCCACACAAAGGACCCATACCAGAAACCATGGGATCCTTGCCAGCACTGGATACTATGCCAGAGGTTTTGCGGCCATCCACAGTGCTGCGCAGTCGGCTTAATCGCTGGGTAATGGAGGTACTGGTCCAGTGGCATGAGAAGTCCATAGAAGAAGCTTATTGGGAAACAGTGGCGTCATTTCGCACGGCTTATCCGGATTTTGAGCTTGAGGACAAGCTCTTTGCTAACAAGGGGACTGATGTTGTGGACTCCTTTTGGGGCCACACTTATAAACGATGTATAAATGGTCCAAAGGCCCAAGAGTCGAAAGTGGCTGAAGTTGGGAATAAGGATATAGTTTCCTAATTCTAGTTAGTTTCCTAGTTCTAGTATATTTCCTTATTCTAGTTACTTAATATGGCTGAACTGGGAAACAAGAATACAGTTTCCTAATTCTTATTAGTCCTGATTCTAGTTTGTTTCTAGTTCTTGTTTCATTTCCTATTTAGAACTCTAAGCAGCCTCTCTATATAAAGAGGTTTTTGTTATGGAATAAAGTACGTTTTTGGAGAATTAATTTGTGCGTCTTGACAAGGTCGGGCGCCGATTAATTTAACAAGAATAGCTTCGTTAAATTCTACTGATTCTTTGTCTCTTTCCCGATTTATATCTCGAACACATCCCTGGACTAGGGCTAGCTCTCGCCTCCTTAACAGGGGAGTTAGTGGAGAGGCGTGTTATCCCTAGGGGTAGGGGGACAGCATACCAGGTCTACTCTCATGTCGTATTAATTAGTACCATTTCTTTTGTCTGAATTGTGCATCATTGTTGATGTACTGGGATTGGAGGAGGATTTAAGTTGTGGATTGTTGCTCAGGGAGGTTGCATGAATTTTCCCTTAATGTTTAGGCAGTGGCATAGACTTAACTCTGGGCATGACCTTAAGTAAGTACTCTTGCCCTCTGATAGAGCTATACCTCGGGGGATGCTTTATTGATGAGGAGCCACATCTTTGGCTTCAATCAACTTTTTATGCATGAGGCTACATGACGAACAGCACCCTTTTTAACATATATATTTACATGCCTCATCATTAACTGTTCACAATAAATCAAATAGAGGCAGTAGTTAATGTTCACCTTTTCTTGAATTGCTTTCTGTAGCTGAAGCAAAGGGATCTGACATTGTGCTAGAAGCTATTATAGAGGCAGATGTGGCACAAAATGCAAAGAAGTTTTTCTCACAGCCCCAAAATCAAATGAAATGTGAATAGAGGTATCTGGTTATTCAATATAATATTGTAGCTATTCAGATTAACCGTTTGATTGTGTGACATCTATCACGTCTGCTGGCTTGGGAAGTGTATTGATTTGCAAAATTAGGTCATTCCACCCCTTGATTACCTTCTAGCCTTCTAGGAGTTCTTACTATGATAGTGTGATTAGAATGTCCTTTGGTCCTAACATATCAAAATCCTAGCTCAGCATACCTCAACTGAAATGTAGGTGTTAGGAACTGGAAACAGGAATATCAAGTTAAATTCTGGGGTAATCAAAGACACAGATTCACCATCTCTACAGGGGAAGAGTACCCATTAGAGTTGAAGTATCTCTGAGGAATGGAAAGAACTCTGCATATGAAAAAAGTTTCTAAGCAGTGAGATAAGGCAATGTTTCGAGGAGCGCTAAGAAAACTGTAGGTGGACAAGGAAGACCAGATGCCTAGGTGTAGCTTCTTAGCTGGGTCTACTAGTAGTTAGGCAGGGATCTTAAAACTGTCAGTTATATACTCATTCTCATATGTAATTTTTTTTGCTGTTTTATTTCTATCTTCTTATTAATATTATAAAGAAATCATTATATTTCTCCAATACAGTCATGTTATATTGTCAAAAACTGAAAGCGATACTATCAACATGACCAGAAAGCACCTTTTTTTTCCTATTCCGTATCAATGTACAATAATACCAATGTATCATTAGTATGGTGCACGTCTCCAAGGTTGTTAAACTCAAGATCCTAGCACGAATCGGAATGGGTCTAAAAGATCGTAACTCGGATCTTAAGAGTTAAGATCATAGAAACAAAACTACCATGCTATATTCACACACACTTATATTTAAGAATATTTAAACATTGAATTTATAACAACAACAACAACAACATAATGTCAAGATACAACTCACTCAAGGTTATAAAATAAAGCACTTAACATAAAAAGTCCAAAGATAATTTGCAAAACATTTGACACATCATAATGACATCTTCACATAAGATAATGCAGCTTCAAATGATCATCTATCATGATATCGTCTTCTTCCATAGGTGGAATCACTAAATCATCACTTGTTTCCCCACCAAAACCGCCACTTTTGGACATTCCTCAGTATCAAGTATGTGCTCCTCATCAAAATCGAAATCAGCACCATCATCATTGTCATCTACAATCCACTCATCATCAGAAGCAAGATCGTCAATACTACTCCCTCCATCCCTATTTAAAAGTCCCACTTTTTTTTGCACACATTAAGGAAATGACATTGTTTGACACTGTTTTGACACTGCTTTGAACTGTTTTGTTTACCAAATAAGGAAAGAGGACTTTTTTAGGTACGACCCAAAAAGGAAAGTAGAACTTTCAAATGATTATACTCCCTACGTCCCTACCGATGTATTTTGACATCCCACAACTTCGGCAGATCGCTTAGTCCCGTGCATCTTCGGTGCAAGAGCGATCAATGAGCTAATACGCACCGATCACTCTTGAAATAGCCATTACAAAAGCAACATCATTCAGCGTTTTTTGATTCAAACGATTTCTTCTTTTCGTGTGGGCCATCTGAAATGCACTCCAATTATGTTCACAACGAGATGAACTACATGTCCAACTTTTGAAGTTCTGAATGCCCATGAGTCCATGACCATATGATTACCACCATTGCGCAGGTGTTTTGGTTTTTAGTCATTGTGCAGCTATTGCAATTCCAAAAAAACCCTTTTTACTTTTGAAGTCCTTGAGTTGAGCATCAATTTACCAATTTCTTCAATATCTCCCAGAAGCCTCTCTAAGCAGTCATACATCATGTAAGTGATATAATATCCTGCTGCATGTAATGGCCTCTTTAACTTCATGATTAGGGCTCTAATACATCATGTAAGTGATATAATATCCTGCTGCATGTAATGGCCTATGCGATTGGTTGTGCCACCTTTCATCAATGATTTCCCACAATTACATATAACTATAAAAAAGTTTATACAATTATATAAAGTTATTTGTATTTAATAATTTAATTAAGAAGTTGTAGAGCAAGTAATTTACCTCATGACACATTTAACTATCATGGGTCATCCGGAAACAGTCTCTGTGTGTGCAAGGTTAAGGCTGTGTACATCTGAACTCCCCTTACCTCAATGAAGGTGGGACCCTTTACGACATTGGGGTAATGTTGTTTTTGTGACACCTTTGAAAGCTTTTTGAATATTCTCTTTCGCGTGATCCATTTCTTCATAATTGAACCCCATATCTGGTTTTTCATCTAAATCCACTAATCGAAACACTTTATTTAATGGATAAACGCCCCTTAGATCAGTGTTGTCTATAGCGTGCTATAGCGGCATAGCGGAGCGGAGGAAGGGTTGGGCGCTGCAAGACCACCTACAACGTCGCATTTGACTCTAGCGGAAGTAGCGTCCGCTATAGCGGGCACTATAGGAGTAGTGGACACTATAGCGGCACTATTTGATTTCCTTCGTTGTAGTTAGGGGTTTTCTAGGCTAAGTTTTGTTTTCAGAGGTATCAAGGATAAAGTAGTCTTTTTAAAATAAATAGTAACCACCGTAAAACCCTTTGATGCACTACTGTTGCAACTCACGTGATACAATGACAAGAATCTGGTTCTCTTCTTCAAGAACAAGTGAACGACATCTGCTACACTCCTATTTACTTCTTTTGAGTATATTTTCTGCTGCTTCATCCTCTATGAGAACTATCTCTGCTGCACTTCTCTTCTTTTCTTCTTCTAAGTAGCATCTTCAGTTTATTGTTTAGACTTAAGTTTTTTTAATTATTAATAGCATCGTATGTTTTATTAATGACACAATGTAGTTTTTTGTTGGTAATTTAAGATTTATGAATGTTAAGATGTTTGGTACTATCAGTAACATAAATCGTGTTTTTTTAATTTGATTTGTGTATACAATGTAATTATATGCATACATATCATTATGTATTATGTATAATTGTATACATATTTCCTGAATAGCAGTCATCCTGCTATCCACTTTACCGCTATAGCGTTTTCAGAGCTGGACGCAACGCTCCACTATCCAGGATTGACAACATTGCCTCAAACAATTCAAAATATTTTTCCAAAAGTCTTTATTGAATATTAAATCCTCCACCAACTTGCCATCTCTAGTCTTTGAAAACTTGTTAGACGTCCACTTATCAGATGTCACCATTCGTATTAATGATCATTTATTATCATGCAAATAGCCCAATGTCAAGTATGAAGTTGCAAAATGAGTCATGTCAGGTCTAATCAAATCATCACCCTTGGTAAATTTATGTAAGAAACATATAAGACCAGTGTGGGAATAAATATAAGTTGTGATCTTTCGCGCGACACTTGTTTCTTGATGGAGTGGAAGTTTCTTCTCAAAATCTTCCGACATCAAATTGATACAATGAGCTGTGCATGCATGCTTGTCACGGCGTCGCCTAGGCGTCGCCTAGGCGCCGACTAGGCGTCCAGGCGCTGGAGAGTGCTCGCCAGGTAAGCTCGCCTCGCCGGAAGAAGAATAGTCGAGGTTGGCGTCGTCCAGGCGTGAAGTTGGCGACAAGTCGCCGCCTACTTTTGCCCAGTCGAAAAGCCGTCCGCGTTCAGCAGGCCCAAAAATGAGTAAATTAAGGTTTAGTTTTTTAGTAAACTCATTTAATTAAGGATTTAAGCTTTTAATTAGAAATAAAGCCCAAATCTAACTTAAGAAGCAGAGTCGTAGAGAACAACTCACAGGACCAGACGAACCGTAGAACTTGAGGAAGCAGAAGAAGTCGCCGGTCTCTCCAGTCGCCATCCCTGGTCCGTCGTTGAAGGCTTGAAGCAGACGACCAGAAATAGGTCCACCGATCTCTTATTGGCTTCTTGTGTAGCGGTGTAGTGGATTTAGTTTTTTAATATCTTAATTAATTAAGTGGTATCAATATATGCGTATATATATACTACAATACTTCTATACTGCGTATCATATAATACGGTGAACATGGTGATATAGACTATTAAACCATTAATTTATTATACCGGTGATATCTTGATGTGCTCGTATTAGACTATTAGTTTAATAATAAACTATAAAACCATTCATTTATTATTTATTATATGCTATATAATAAAGTGCAGAACTGGTGAATGGTGATATATACTGATATGCTCGTATTAGTTTTATAATAAACTATTAAACCATTAATGTATTATATATTATACATAATATATAATCATATATATAATTATATATATAATATATTTTATATTATACATATATAGGCGACTATCCGCCTAATTGTCGCCTAGGCGGGCGCCTTATCGCCTAGGCAATATGGCGGTCGGCTGGCGCCGCGACTCGACTTACCGCCGTGACAAGTATGTGTGCATGACATCCTCTTCTCAACTTTTGGAAAAATAAAGAAATTGCATCACATGATTCTTCCTGAATGTTCTTTTTTGATATAGTATTCATTGTTGTTTGAGTGCTCCCTCTTCTCTTGAAGATTTATTAGTAGGATCATTCGCTTCATCTCTTTATCTTTTAGCGTGATCATCTCCTCCATCTATAAAAGCCCATTGATATTTGATTTTTTTGTAAGTTGAACACAATATCCAACATTTCTTTTTCGGATTTCATCGCTCACACTTTTACATGGTGCCACATCACTTTGTTAGTTCCAGCTAAGTGATGTTTCAAATGATAAACACATCCGGTAAATATCTTCTCACAATACTTACACTTGATTGTTCTATTATCTTCACTAATGGGTATACCAATGGTTCCACCCAACATCATTTCGCTGCCCAGCATCTTAGGAAACTTACTGTCGGTCAAATTAAAATATGGCTGAATTTCAGAGAGGATTCAAAGTGAAGAAGAGTAAGGCTGGATTTCAGAGATGAAGCAGAGAGAATAAGAGGTATTCACACAGTAAGATGATTTTCAGAGATGAAGTAGAGAGAATAGAGTAAGGGTGGATTCAGATATTTTCAGAGTGGATGCACAGAGATTGAGCAAGAGTGCAAGACAACAACTTTTTATAAAAGGTTTACGAGCTTCGAAGTTCGAACTGACTGGTGCAACGTTGAGCGTCCGGCCAGTTCGCATGTCGCTTGTGGCTTCGTAGGTAACCGACCCATGGTAAGTCGTAACTTTTTTTTATTTTTTAAATCACGTTGTTTCCAACGGTCTGCGTCGTTTCCGTTGTTCATCCACGAACCGCTGAAGATCAGCGATGCAGTGAATTTAGGATCTTGCTCTTTGATCCGGCGCGTCTGGTAAAGTTTCTGATCCCAGCTGCGATTCAGATTAACCTGTCCCTTTTCTCAATACCATTGCTTTTACTGAAAGTAAGTTTTTAAGACATCCACCAGTCCACCACATGTCTGAGTAGTGCCCAACTGTTCTCAGCCCTTCAATGTGGGGGGCATATCTAATGTGGTGGGAGCCGTTCTGATCTGATGGTACTTGACCTCCAGGCAATGCATCGAGCTAAAATCTGTATCTTTTCATGCTTTTATTGTATTGATGATTTCAACACTTGTGTTTATAAACGTTCATGTAGTTGACCAGCTCTGCTCTAAGACAACCCCTGCGAGTATGAGCTGAAGAAGAAGCTTCTGGTAACAAAGGAGGAAATTGAAAAGCTCGCATAGAAGCGTGCGGGCCATTTCTTGATA